AGATTTGAGAGGCATCAGATATAGTAATGATGGAGCACAAAGCTGTTGGGGTAGAGAAGATCATCCAGGGACTTTTTGCAGAGTAAGAAAGGAAACTAAAATTAAGCCTTGAGGAATCATAACATTTAAAAGACGAGAAGAATAAACAAACCTGACCTAAGCATGATGACTCATGCCTATAATCCTCACTACTCAGGAGGTTGAGATAATGAGAACTGTAGTTTGAGGCCAGCCTGGCTAGAAAAATTCACAAGTTCCCCTTTTAACCAATACTGGGGGAGTAGTATATACATGTCATCTAGCTACAAAGAGAAGCTTAGTATATACATGTCATGTCATCTAGCTACAAGCTGGTAATAAATGGATTCTTCCAGGTGTCCAGGCAAGAAGTGAGTCCCTATCAGAAATGATTAATGCAAAAAGGGAGGTGGGAGTATCTAGAGACATGGTTTAGGAGTAGAATGCTTACCTAGCAAGCAGAGGCTGTGAATTAAAACTCTAGAACTATTAAGTATTAAAATAAAAACCTGAAAAGGAAACTGAAAAGGACTACTTTAATGATACAGGGTAAATCAGGAGTGTGGAATCTAAGAGGATACAGTTTTAAAATGAGGATTACTCAGCACTCCTGATTAATTTCTAGAAGGTTAAAAGTAGTGACATAAAGTTGACTATGAATGTAATTGCAGTCAGTTTTAGGAGAGAGGTGAAGACAGAAAGACATGAGTGTAAAATGAAGACTTGAATGTGGTCTGTTTTCAAGAAGCTTAGGTTGTGAAAGTGAAGGAGGATTGGGGGTGATAGCTGAAACAATACTGGGGTCAAGGGGAGTGGGGTGCATGTACACCTGTGTGCTGTGTTTCTTAGAAGAAGAAAAATAAAAGGGAAAGAGTAGAAATACTCATCATAGGGAGGTATCTGAAAAATGATAGGGATTTCATAGCAGACAAGTTGGAGGAAAAGCATGCCTGTGAGTAAGAGTGAATGGAAGAAGTCAAGTAATAGTTTTATAGGTTTGGATTTCAGTTTGGTGATGGATATTTCAGGGAATGTTCATATGATAGCTTTACGTATGAGACATGATTAACTGCTAAGAGTAGGTCAGACATTTAAGAAAAGCAGAAGTTTGTAATATTGATATTGATCACTAGGAATTAAGTAGAATTGAGAAAAGCTAAGGGTTCAATTGAACTGTTTTTGTTTCAGCATTCCAATATTTATAATCTTTCCAATGAATTTATTGTCCCAACTGGCACACATTTGAGAGAGCATTGACACACTCTTAATAGTTATATAGACATGAATATGAGACTATCCCCTGAACCAAGGGATGTGTGATCACTTACCAAATTCTTTTTTGCTTTTAATCTGTTTGATACTTTTCCCTTTTTCTTTTCTAATTAGCATTCACCAGTAGTATAAGGGTTTTCATTGTGACAGTTCTATAGATGTGTACAGTGTTCTTTGAACAAACCCACCCCCTCTATTATATCTCCTTTCTTTGTTTCTCCCTTTTGCAAACAATATTTAATGAGTTTTAGTATTCTATCTCAATTCTCTTTTTAAAGTGATTTAAATAATAATAAGAAAAATATTTCCAGGTCTCATCGTTCCTTTGTGTAGATCAGTATATCATCTGATAACATTTTCTATCTGCCTTAAAATTTTGTTTTAGCATATCTTGCATATGAGATGCTGGCAATGAATTCTTTTAGCTTTCATAAATTTGAAAAGTATTTTTTTTCCTTATTGACATTGGTTCCAAGACATATCTGCCTTTGTCTTTTTCTTTGTTCCTCTGTATGTAATGTGACTTTTTCACTATTAGTTCTAAACAATTTTATTTTGGTATGTCTTAGTGTACTTGCTTCTCTCTACAATGGTTTTTAGACGTGGGTTTGCTGAGTTTCTTGAATCTATGGGTTTAAAGTTTTTATGACATTTGGAACTTTGTAGCCATTATTTCTTCAAATATTGTTTTTGGTCCTCCTCTCTTGTGTCATGATCAGAACCCCCAGCAGTAGCAGGAGCAGTCATAAAGTTCATCATTTTTCTTCCCTTCTGTCAGTGATTATTGAAATACTTGGTGTTTTAAACCCCACTGTTAAATCTATTTATTTTATATTTATTTCAGGTAGATGAGGAAATTAGTTCCTATTGATCCAACATGTCTATTGAAAGTTAGATATTTTCAATAATTGAAGAAATTAGAAAATTTAAGCTAGTATAGACTTTAAAACACTCACTTTTATATAATGTTATTTTTGAACTTGATAAGGTAAGAAGGAATCTGATAGTTGATCACCATTAAATAATCATGGAAAAAACTGTGAGCTTGTCCTAGGTATAGAAGTATTAGAACAATTTATCTTCATATTTTGTTCTTTTATTAAGGAAGAGTCTACATTCAGTAAAATTGAACACCTGGAGTGCTTTTAAACACATTCAGTGTTATAACTACTATTCTTTGTAGGCACCCCCTTCTTTTACAAACTTTATTGATAACCACTAAAGTATTTTCCATATTTATAGTCTTACCTTTTCCAGAAAGCCATGTAAATTACAGAAGATAGGTTTTTCCTGTGGCTTATGACACTTCACATAATATGTTTGAGATCCATTTTTGTTGGTATGTAGTTCATTCCTTGTTCTTGTTGAGTAATAGTCTATTAAATTAATGAATCATACTTTGGCAGTATCACTAGATTCTAAAGTAGATAGTGGCAGTTGAATGTATCTGAATACAACATTGAAAGGATTTAGGCTCATTTTGATGGGAGATTAAATGCTCTTACAATTTATTTCCATATCTGGAAATTTTAAAGTCTTGAAATGCTAGTATAAATATTCTTGGTTGGCAAGTACAGATTTACTTAATTGACTGAGGAGATATAACCAACATATTTTGTTTTAAACATAGTTCTGAATTAATTTGACTTAGTGGAAATATGATGTTTGTTTTTTCATTGCTATGACAAAATACTCAAGCAAATCTACTTAAAGGAAATAAGATTTATAGTCACTCGGTTCCATCACTGTGAGCCAGTAGAGAGGAAGAGAAGGTGTAATTGAGCAGAGCTTCTCACTTCCTGGCAACCAGGAAGCAGAGGAGTATGGAAGGAGGGAAGACAGATGCCTGCACTACAGGGCTATCTCCCCTTTCCCCTTTTATTCCATCTTGGCTGCTACCCTTTGGAGTAGTGCTGCTATTTGAGGTGGGTCTTTAGCTAATCCTCTCTGGAGATGATCTTAGACACACTGAGAGGTATGCTCTACTAATCTCTTAGCTACTTCTCAGTCCAGATCAAATTGAGAGGATAAACTATCACACCAGATGTATTATTTTTTTCTTAGTATTGGGGCATTGTTTTTGTCTTTTTTTTTTAAAAAGAGATTACCCTAGAATAGCTGTCTTTTTTTTAAAAAAAGAGATTACCCTAGAATAGCCAGGCATTCGTGGTTCACATGTGTTATCATAACTTCCCAGGAGGCTGATATCTAGAGGATTACAATTCGAAGCCAGCCTAAGCAAAAAAAACAAAACAAAAAAACAAAAATTCCCACAAGACTCTCCAAGATAACTAGCAAAAAGCTAAGGTGGAACTGTAGCTTACGTGGTATTTTACCTGTTGAGAAAGTAAGCACAGTAAACTCAAAGTCCTGAGTTCAAACTTGGTATTTCCTCCTCCACAAAAAAAGTAGAAGTTAATTTAATTTGTCTCACTTTTTTACTCTCATATCTAGTCTACTGCTATTTCTTTGGTATATAACAGAATTTGGCCAACTTATTTCAGGAGAAGAATAAATAGGCAAGATCTAATTCTTACTTTAATCACATATTTCTTTTTTTCCCCTATCATTTTAATGATAGCATGTGGCGGAAAATGCTGGCTCAAGAATGAAGCAGGCAGGATTTTAACACTTAGAGCTGTATTTCTAGGAAGCCTCAAAATTATTCTCTAAACTCTGCTTTCTCATTTTTTTTTTTTTGGGGGTCCGGTCATGGGGCCTGAACTCTGGGCCTAGGCGCTGTCCCTCAGTTCTTCAGCTCAAGGCTAGCGCTCTACCACTTGAGCCACAGCGCCACTTCTGGCTTTTTTTCTTTTTGCTTATGTGGTGCTGAGGAATCGAACCCAAGGCCTCAGGCATGCCAGCCCATCAATTTATTTATTTATTTTATTTATTTTTT